ATTGCCACGGGATAGAGCAGGATTTAGGTCTGTTGTACATAGGGTCGCTATGAGTCGCAAGCTACTCGACGGCACATAACAACAACAACATCTCTATTCATTGTCCATTTCTCAGATGCATAACAAGTGATCGGAAAGAACATGGCCTGAATCAGACACATCTTAGTGTATATTGTTGTTGTTATGTGCCGTCGAGTCACCTGAGACTCATAGCGACCCTATGTACAACAGCCCTAAACCCTGCTCTATTCTGTACCAATCTCACTGTCTCCTAGTCAATCAAAAAGACTTTGGTTTGAATTAGTCAAATCTGTTTTCAAAGTGACATTTTGCTTATTTTAAATTTCTTCTTCATGACATTCTTAACAGCTATATTCCCGAATCAAACAAGATAGTTTCACTTTTGAATAACTATTAATAAAGAACTCTGGTGGCTCAGTGGTAAGGATTTACGGTGCTAAATCAAAGGCATACTATTCAAACCTATGAGTTTGTTCCAACTAGATAGCAAATAACAATAACCATTTACAAGACTGAAACAAAAATTTAGTAATGTCTCAGGATACTACAATAACCCTGTTTGTCCATTAGGCACTATCGAATTGATCCTGACTCATAGTAAGTAATACTTTATATACAAGATACTGAAAAATTGCTTGACCAGCATGACCCATTGTTGCAGTCACTGTGTCATTCCATCCCTTGAAGGTCTTACTTTGTTTTGAAAATCCCACACCTTTATAACAAACATGTGATTTTTCCAAGTACTGTTTTTTCCTGATAATATGTCCAAATGATGTGCTATGAGCTCTCTAAGAGGCAGTCTGGCTACACTTCTTCCTGCACAGATTTGTTTTTTCTTTGTCCTTGGTACTCTCAATACTGTTTATCAACACTGAAATGTAAAAGTATCCATTCTTCAGTCGTCCTTATTCGTTGTCCAACTTTCAGACACATAGGAAGCACTTGAAAATACCATGGCGTGGGTGAGTCATACCCAAGTCTTTAAACAGATATCCCTGTTCTTTAGCACTTTAAATAAGGCATTTACAGCAGATTTGTCCTCTGCAACATATCACTTGATTTTTGTTCTTTATTGCTTCTTCCATGTTTGTTGATTGTGTTGTTGTGTATCATCGAGTCAAAATCACCCCGTAGCAGACCCTCCAGCAGGTTTTCAGAGACAATTAATCACATGAGAGGAGGTAACCTATCCTTCTCCCATGGAACAGCTGGTGAATTTGAACTGTGTGAATTTGGGATTATAGCACAGCTTTTTGCCACTAAGTCACCAGGAATCCAAGTAAAATGAAATATTTGATTACTTTGATCTTTTACATCACCTATTGAACAAGTTGTGGGGATTTTTGTTTTATTGATATTGATGTGTAATTCATACTGAATTTTATTTTCTTTTGTAAGAGCTTCAAGTCCTCTTTACTTTCAGCAAGTAGAATTGTGTCATTGCCATAAAATAGGTGTTGATAAATCTTTCAAACCTAATTCAGCATTGTTTTTCATATGATTCACCTTCTGGGATTATGTGTTTGGAATACAGATTGAAAGTACAGTGGAAGGCTAAAACTCTAGTTCACTTTTTTGCTGATTTTAAACTATGCAGTGTCTCCTTGTTCTATTCCATTGATTCCTTCTAAATTCATATACAGGTTCCTCAAAAGTACTAGTAGGTATTTTGGAATTTCTATTATTTCAATGTTATTCAATTTTTAATGATCCACACCATCAAGTATCATTGCAAAATCAATAAACCCAAGTGAACCTTTTTCTAATGAGTACCTCTCTCTGCTTTTAGCCATAAGCCACTCACAATCCCTAACTCCTCAATCTGTTTTGAATTCAACTTGAATTTGCCGTCAGTTTCCTGTTGATGCACTGATCCAAATGTTCTTAAATAATCTGCAGCAAGATTCTAATGTGTTATTAATGCTTGATAATTTCTGCATTCTGATGGGCTCAGAATGAGAATCGATATTTAGTTCTTCTAAAAGACTGACCAGGTCTTCCAAATTTCTTAACATAGATGAGGGAGCATATCCAGGCCTGCATCTGTTTTTTGAAAGACCTCATGTCATTTCCTGTCTATTCCTGGTGCCTTTATTTTCTCTTTTTATTTCATTGCTTTAAGTGAATATTTAACTTAGCTCTTCAGTGTTATGGGCTCTTGACCATATGCTAGATCCTGAAGTGCTTCAATGTCAAATAATTCTATCTAAGTACAATTACCCTGTTTATTACTTCCAAATTCTTATTTAATTTTTCCCCCTTCCTTATAATTTAAAAAAAATATTCATTTTTATACTGGTTTGTTTACAGTTTGTACAAAATCTCCTTCCATATTCTTATGACGCTTCTTGAATCATGTAGTATTTTGTTCATAATATCTTACAGTCCTACAACTCAAGGCTTTAGATTTTTTCTTTGGTCCTTTTAGCCTGAAGTATACCGAACTTGTTCTTCCCTTTTAATTTTATAATTCCTGTTCTTTGCACATTTCATCAAGTACTATGGTGAAATTTTGCTTTGTCTCATTAAGATGCAATTTGAAATTTTCTGTTCAGTCCTTTGATTTTTTTTTCTTTTGCTTAGCTTGTGAATAATAAAAAAAATTGAGAATCTCTTCCGACATTCATTTTGGTATTTTATTTCTTTCTTGCTTTTTAAATATGCTTGCTTTTGCTGTCCCATTATTTCAGAAGTGCATGGTCAATCCTGCTTCTTGATCTGCCTTATTCCAGAAGTTCCTCTGAAAACTGCCTATATGGTTGACCTTTCTTGAGTTTGAAATACTGCTAGTAAAGCTCCTACAATAACATGCAAGACACCTCTCTATGTCAGACGGGCATACAAACAGTAGAAGAGAAATATATAGCTCACTTACTAACTCAAGAGACACTCCTTTTTCTTCTGGTTTGATTGATGCTTAGTAGAAATATGTATGTTGAAAATAAGATACTTAAAGCAAAAAGAATATTTTTGTAATAAATAGATTTTTCTTGCCATAAGTTCTTATAATATGGCAATATCCTGTTTAGTTTTGTTTTTTTTCCCCCTTGAAAGTAATGTAATTGAATCAGCAATTTTGGCAAAAGAGAGAGAAATGGTTAAGTAGATTATTGCTACATACATTTCAGTCTTGGGATAAGAAGGAACTAAACTGGCAAGCATAACCTTCTGTCTCTTGTGGAGTATCTAAAGTAAAAGAATTCCCGTAATACCATCTTGATATGGCAGATTTAATATTTCTTTATCTTTCAAGGAAGTTCCTGGTTAGTCCAAATATTTACTTGTTGGACTATTAACTAAAATGTTGGTGGTTTGAACCCATGAAGACCTGCCTCAGAAAAGGGATATTTACTTCCAATAGGTCATAGCTATGAAGACAACAAATGACAATTCTACTCTGTAAAACATAGGGATACTATAACTCAAAATCAACTCAGAAGAATTCATCTGAAGATCTGGGCAGCCACTTCAATCAGCTTCTGAAGCACTGCTGAAAATGTCTAATTAGTGTTTGCAAAATGTTTTATTATTTTCAAAAGGACACTGTAGTATTTCCACAGGACTCGAAGGTACAATAACTGTTTGGCAGTCTGAAATGGTGATATATGTCTCAAGCTATGTTTTATATAATTTAAGACATATAATATGGCAAGACATAGCCATTTCTGGAATATTTGTGGTTAAAGATCCTGGTTTAACTGGTTACAGTGATGATTTGCAGGTTTGGAGCTACCTCAGAGAAATCTTGGGTGAAGGGGACTATTTTCAAGATTTCTTGGGATTTGACTTAGTCAGAGATCTTAAAAGGAACATAGTCTATTTTACTGATTTATACCCCACAATATTTTACAAAAATGTTACAACCTTATTTAAGGAACATTGACTCACTAATAAATTAGTAAAAATGTAAAGTAATTTGAATGGCATAATTAAGATCAAGGAAAAGAAAATATAAAAAGAATAAGGATCACTTCTTGGCCTTTTGGCTAAGATCAAGTGTAGTATCTGTTCTTGTCCGTTTAAAAAGAATAAGGAAAAGTCAAGAGTGAGATTATCTGTATCAGTAGTCAATAATGGATAATTCCT